GAAATGAGAGAGGTCTCTATCTACCCTTTGTGAAAGAGCTCCCTTTGTTCACTGGCAAGAACTCATTCATGAAAGCTATAAGAGTTCCCGTCGATAGGTAAAGGAGCTCACAGCTCTTCTATATCTTACCCTTTACATGAAAGAGGCTCTCTATCTCGTAGCGGGTCATGAAAGATCGTCTCTATCTCTTTGCCGGACATGAGAGAGTCCTCTACCTACCTCTTGTGAAAGAGCTCCCCCACCTCGTAACGTACAAAGACAGAACTCGTCTATCTTTCAATGGGACATGATCCGTCTCTTTGGTTTTGGTTGAGAAAAGCTTCTCTATCCATGAAGCAAACATGAGAGAAGCCGATTGTCTCTAGGCTGCTTATCGCTTCGTAGGAAATGACATAGCTCTTTTACCTTTTTGCGAGAGATCAACCCTAATTGAAGGTTTCGAAGGCCTATCCCTGAAATGGAGCGTCGCATAACTCATCAGTCTCTCTCGCTTACGTGAGACAGCATTTATTCTATTTCGTAACAGGTCATCTAAACGCTCTTCTATGCGTTTGTAGAAGTAGAAGAGCTCCTTGCCTCTTGTGCAAAAGCTCCTCCGCATCCTAAAGAGCAATGAGCAAGCTCTGCTATCTCCTCTCTCTTGAATAGGTCATGAGAGGGCTCCCCTCCCTCTGGTTGAGGGAATGACAGAGCTCCTCCGCCCCTTACGAAAGAGCCTTTCTCCTGCTTGAAAAGCTGCGGGCGGGTGCTCTGGCGCCTCGTAGGTTTGGGAGGGCTCCTTTTCACATCTTTATCTTTCCGACTCCGAGATATAGGATCTCATTTTTTCGAAAGTGGTAGCAGAGATCTCTCATTTCCAAGAGATCTTTGTCACTCAGGGAGAAAGCAAGGTTTTGATTTCAAAGAAATGGAGGAGCTCTTTCATGTCCCATTAAGAGTGTGGAGCGCTCTCATTACGCATGAAAAGATTGATGACATGGATTCGTTACCATTCTTTAACTTTTCTCGAAGGGTCTTTTCTTTTCATATGCAGGATCTCTTTCATTTCCTATGAGAAGATAGAGGAGCTCTTTCATCTCAAAGATAGAAGAATGCATTCATAAACGGTATAAGAGCTCTCCCATGAACTATATCTCATCGTAGGGGGCATAGGAGTTTCCGGGGGCTCAGGATTCGCGTGCAGGGTGTAGGGTTTATAGGGCTACGGGAATTTAATGGAGGGTGTATTTGTGTAGTCTGCCTATTACCGTAACAAACCCGTGACATAACCCAGAGCCATTACTTGCAAGACTGCTTCTTGAAAGCAAGAGCGCTAGTGTCTAACCATTGTACATTCCTACATGAGATACCCCACCACATCTTGAAAACACCTCTTTCTCCAAGGGTTTACTGGGGCTTTAAGGAACAAGAACGTGATGGTTTCAGCACCAAAGTAAGGGAATAGCAAAGGGTTTCCAGGGAAAACTTCCCTGATGCAACCGGTCTCTATCTCACAAGAGGTCATGAGAGACCTCCTGTATCACATTGCAGGAATGAGAGAGTTCTCCACCATGTTTGTTTTCCGAAATAGCTTCTCTATCAATGAAGAGTTTTGAAGGTCGCCCTGGGCCATTCTCTGTCCGATAAATGAGACATGACATAACTCATTAGTCTCTATTAAAAGAGTCTCTATCTCTACGTGATCGAGTTTCGCTATCTCTGAATATACGTCGTCTGAAAGCTCCTCTGTGTCTTTGTAGCAAGTGAAGGAGCTCCTTGCCTCTTCTGCAAGAGCTCCTCCGCTTCCCCTTTTGCAATGAGCAAGCTCTTCTATCTCCTCTTGTTCCTAACAGGTCATGACTTCTGCAAGAGCTCCTCCTCTTGATATTTTGCAATGAGCAAGCTCTTCTATCTCCTAATAGGTCAGAGAGGGCTTCCCTCTCTCCCACTCTTGTAGAGGGCATCGTTCATTTCCTGTCTGTCATTACGTATGAGAAGAGACAGGAGCTCATTCATCTCCTAATCAGAGATTGAAGAACTCCTTCAGGAGAGCTCTCTCATATCCTATCCTTTTGGTTCCCCGTCACTAGGTCCCTAGGTAAAGGAGCTCTCAGCGTCTCAGCTCTACCGTTTGCTACCTTCTACGTGGCAGAGCTTCTTTATCTCGCAATAGGTCATGAAAGACTTTCCAGCAAATGAGAGAGTTCTCTACTTTACCGCTTGCGAAAGAGCTCCCCTTTTTCAATGACAAGAATTCACTCATACAAGCTACAAGAGCACTCTAATGTCCTGTCTTGCTCATTTCCCGTCAATGGGTAGACGAGCTCGCAGCTCTACCGTTTCCTACCCTTTACATGAAAGAGGCTCCTCTATCTCGTAGCGGGTCATGAAAGATCGTCTCTATCTCTTTGCCGGACATGAGAAAGTCCTCTACCTACCTCTTGTGAAAGAGCTCCCCCACCTCGCAACGTACAAAGACACAACTCGTCTATCTTTCAATGGGACGTGATTCTCCTTTGCTTTTGGTAAGCCCGAACGACTACCGGAATTAACTTCTTGCATTTCTTGTTTTTCTCACAGACAGGAAGAAGTTACGGAAATTAATGAATTGTGAATTTCTTTAATTTGTTTTCATTAATCTCGCAAGCCCGAACAGCTGCCGGAATTAGTTTCATGAATTTCATTAATTTCTTTGATTTCTTTATTGTTTGAATTTCTGAAAACCTTTAATTTCTTTAACTCCCTCAATTTCTTGAATTTCTTTACTTTCTGTAATTTCGTTTAATTAGTCTCGCAAGCCCGAACGGCTGCCTGAATTAATTTCTTTAATTTCTTTTTTATTTCTTTAATTTCTTTAATTTCTCACAGAGAGACCCAGAAATTAAAGAAATTAAAGAAATTAATTGGGGGAGCCCGCCCGGCTCACGGGACTAATTTAAACTAGAAGACGATTGGCCCGAAAGCATCGATTTGCGGTGCGTTGAGTCTATGCACTTGACTCTGTGCGCTCGAACTGTATGCACTTGGACAAGTGTATGCACTTAAGTGTATGCACTTATATGGTTGCATACTCACTTGTATACTGCACTTGTATACTGGACGTGTATGCACTCGAACTGCATGGCACTCAAGTGTGTTGAGTTGAATGCCATGCACTTGTGGTCAACTCTATACACTTCATTGGCATTCATTAGATCTGAAGTAAACGGACTTGAACTGTATGAACTTCACTTGCATGCACCCGACTCGGCTGCGCACGTCCTGTCAACGCGATGCTATGAAAGAAAAGACAAAAACATCTAACGCGAGAGCCGTCAGCCATGAGCATCATCGGCAGTCGCTCTGAAGTCCAAGCTCACACTCCAGAGCGCCTTTCAAAGAAAAAAGGACAGAAGAGCGAGGTTGGCAAGAAGACCTTGGAGCTTCAAAGAGCAGAGAAGCACAGTGAAATCTGACCGAAGTGAGTTTCGCACGCCGGGAATTAAATAACAATGAAATTTGCGATGTTTTCGCACGCTCGGCGTTGGAGCACCATGTGATTTTGCGAAATCATTAACCATGGTATTTGCGATGGTTTTGGAACCAGCGAATTCGGGGACCATGGTATTTGCCATGGTTTGGAACCAGCGAATTCGGGGACCATGGTATTTGCGATGCTTTTGGAGCCAGCGAATTCGGGGACCATGGCATTTGCGATGCTTTTGGAAGCAGCGAATTCGGGGACCATGGTATTTGCGATGCTTTTGGAACCAGCGAATTCGGGGACCATGGTATTTGCGATGGTTTTGGAAACAGCGAATTCGGGGACCATGGTATTTGCGATTCTTTTGGAAACAGCGAATTCGGGGACCATGGTATTTGCCATGGTTTGGAACCAGCGAATTCGGGGACCATGGTATTTGCGATGGTTTTGGAACCAGCCACGGAAGCTCCTTGCGATGGTTTTGGAAACAGCGAATTCGGGGCTAGTCTCGCAAGCCCGAAGGGCTACCGGAATTTATTTCTTTAATTTCTTTAATTTCGCACAGAGAGGCCCATAAACTAAAGAAATTAAAAAAATTAAAGAAATTAATTGGGGGAGCCCCCCCGGCTCACGGGACTAATTTAAATAAAATAAAGAAATTAATGAAATTAATGAAATTAAAGAAATTAATTAATTTCTTTAATTTCTTTAATTTCTCACAGAGAGGCCCAGAAATTAAAGAAATTAATGAAATTAATTAATTTCTTTAATTTCTTTAATTTCTCACAGAGAGGCCCAGAAATTAAAGAAATTAAAGAAATTAATTAATTTCATGAATTTCTTTAATTTCATTAATATCTTTAATTTCTTTTAATTAGTCTCGCAAGCCCGAAGGGCTACCTGAATTAATTTCTTTAATTTCTTGAATTTCTCACAGAGAGGCCCAGAAATTAAAGAAATTAAAGAAATTAATTGGGGGAGCCCCCCCGGCTCACGGGACTAATTAAAATAAATTAAAGAAATTAATGAAATTAAAGAAATTAATTAATTTCATTAATTTCTTTAATTTAGCACAGAGAGGCCCAGAAATTAAAGAAATTAATGAAATTAATTAATTTCTTTAATTTCATTTATTTCCCTAAGAGAGCCCCAGAAATTAAAGAAATTAAAGAAATTAATAGGTAAATGAATTAAATTCCTCATACAAGTGATATACGTGAAATGGACCCAAAAGGTCCCTCTCACATATATATATATATATATGGTCTATCGGTATGTACATATATATATATATATTAAAACAGAAATTAGCGTATATGTATATATTATACATATGAGCCAAGAAGCTTAAAGCTTATGCAAAGCGAGTGCGTAGCCCTTACTCCCATGAATGGACGAGTGGAGTGAGCAGGAGGCGGCGGGGGTGAGGTGAGTCAGGGTGATGCTCTCTTCAAGACTCTCCTCTCCCAATCAAGCGTTCCATCCGCTCTTCTGGGCTCCCGCTGCCTCCTTCTGGTTCTGTCCCCATAGCAAAGAGCTTCCTGCAACACGGCCTCTCTCAGTGCCTCTCAGTGGCCTGGGACGGAAGCACTTCAAGCCAAGTCCTGAAGTCACGGAACTCGATCGGACCCCGCTTTCGCCTCAGTGGCAGCTGCTGGCCCCTCCGAGCCGTGCGGATGAATCTGGAAAGTCTGGCCTACGAATGTACCGTACCTACCGCGGCTTGCTGTTCCTGAGCTCCGCAGAACTCGGCACCTGAGCTGCCTGCTTTTGCGTATTCTGCTGCTCTTCAAGCATCCTGTTTCAAAAGGCACTTGCGAGTCCCCAGCCTCACTAAAAGAGCAAGTCTTACCCCAAGATTTAGATCAACTCTCTCTCCTAGAACTTCGCCCCCCAAGTGCGGAGCTTCAGTCCTCCGAGTGGCCGAAGCCAGGATCTGCTCTGTTACCCCAGGTTCTCCAGACAGAATGAGGGCGTCGCGGACCTGCACAGCGGGGAACCCCACCATCCTCACTTTCTCAAAAGGTGCACTGCCCCTCGGCCTTCTCCATGTCCATGTGACCCTCGGCAGTACAGACATAGTGGAACGCGTGCTCGAGGGCATCAAAGTCAGCCAGCGACGGGCCCTCAAGAGTCGAGTCAGGCATGTCCGACTGACTGCACACCCGCATTGGTCCTCAAGGATCTCCCATATATCGTCGAAGTTCACCATGGTGTCATTGGCGCAGTTCTCCTGCTTTAGGGTTTAGGGCTTAGGGTTCAGGGTTTAGGGTTTAGGGATGTCCTAACATGCTGCCAGGCGTGTCAGCCAGCATCAGCTGCCAACGACGCACGCGCGCGTTCAGAACGATGGCTGTTTCAGGAGGCGCGCGCGTTCGCGGTTATTCGGCTGGGTTTGTGTTCTGGGGAGGATGTAACATCCCTGGAGGGCTAAACACTTGAAACTGTTCTTGCTCAGGGACCTTGCTTTTGGACCTTCTGGAGGTCCCTGCCTGCACATATGGTCACTTCTGAAAAAATATGGTGTCCTTCTGGCATTTTGGGGGTTGCTTGTTTACGGCCCCTATTATTTACGGCACCCACGAACGGACCGCAACTTAGAGAACTGACCATATTGGGAGACCACAACCAAGAACAAATAACATGATCAGGAAAACATGTGAACCAAAGCATGGGAAGACTACCAAGCTTCGCAATTGTTCACAAGCTACTCGTAGTTTATTCGCAACTTGGCGCAAACTTTTACAAACTGCTCACCACATTTTCATTTCTTGCCTGGCACTACTCAAATTTGTGCTCCCTCCCTTCCGGCCGTGGCTCCGAACCTCGCCCTCCGTTCATGTTCTTATTTTTAGTCGATCACAGTTTTCTCCTTTCCTCCCGAGACGTGATCAAATTTCGGCTCCCAGTATCCCCTCCCAGCCATTGTCCCAGGACCGAATACACACTTTCTTCTCATTTCTTTCACTTTCTTTTTGCTTCAGGTGAATCGAGATGAATGGAGCCACCGCAAGCCCAAAGCGCGACTACCCCAAAACAGTGCCCGGCCTAAACACCGAAAGCCCAAACACCACTGCTGTGCAAAACAATCAAAACACAGCAAGCCTGAAAGACTGCAGGCCACAAGCCCAAGACATTCTTACCCCAGCACGCGCCTACCCCAAACACTTCCAGCCCGAAACATTGCCTCTGTAGTCTGAATTTGCGCTAACAGCTATGTTCGGCGCTTAGCCAGTTCCCAGGTGCGAGTGAAAGGGCGAGTAAGCTTTCAGCCGCGCAAGGCCTAAAAATGTTAAGCTTTAAAGTCTCTCGGCCTTCCCCGAGCTCAGGCGGGAGTACTCTAGGCTCCAGGTTAACGCATGACGAGACCATATCAAGCCAATATGGGCGGGGTGACCTCGTCTACCAGTAGCAGCTTTAGTGTACCTGACCCTATCCTTAGGTCCGTGTAGAATTGGGAAAACGTGGTGTGTATGGTCATTGTCGGGGGTCAGTAGAATTCTTCAACCTCTGCCAAACTGCTAGCCCACAGAGGCATGGCAGCCGAAAAAAAGGCAGCTCGCCTTGTTCAACACCCATTCGACTTCTCTGAACGAGATGTTGGGGTCGATGCTCCTTTCTCATCTGCGGCTGAATAACTTGCACTTGGCCAGACACATGTGATTGTTCCCCGATCTTCCTGAGGGCTTGCAGAAGTTGCCTCATTGTGATCTCCTCCGTCTCATCATCCTTCCATGGTCAATATCAAGGTTGCATCTCTCCACTTGGCGTGAGGTAAAGCTTCGGCAAACTCTTCGCGGAATGCTGCGTCGAGACACAAACACTGACATGCAACATGAGATCAGCCACCATGTGACGTCAGAAAAGTTGAGTGATTCTCACCCATCCACCTCTGCCAGCTAGTGATGAACAGCGCATGCCTCGATCCCAAGAAGATGTCGTTTCTTGAAGGTTGCGGCCTCGTTGCATTCAGCATTGCATCATGAGACCGCTGACACGTGCAAGGAATGCCAGACCGAGCATGAAGCATATTGCCATGCGCTCCTCACCGACTCCTGCTGTCATTATCTGACCAGCACTCTCACACTCCCCGCACTTTCCCACTGCCGTTACCCTGATATACCCTAACCTTACACTCTCATGCCGCCTGCGAGATGCCATGGGTAGACGAAGAAGGCTCCGATAGTCGATGCGTGTCACTCCTTTCAAGACTGTCTGCTGCTTAATTTCCACTCACGGCGAGACGTCCACCGAGAACCCTCTCCGGAAAAAAGCCATTGGCTTCTGGCCTGATTGTCGAAAAGATACTGTCGCGGATGGAGAGCGAACGTTCCTGCAGCTGCAGCTCTTAAAGTTGGCCAGCATCGAAGCCGGCGTTGCGAAGCTTGGCAGCCAATCGGTTCGGCAAGAACTTTTTGTCTGGCAAACCGACAGGTGGGGCTAGCCGCACTTGCGTCTAGTTTTACAAAAAGAGCTCTCAGGAATCTCAGTTGTGCTGTGCACCCTCTCTCGCGACTAGCGAGACCCGCGCACTGGTAGCTCATGAGATGGCTTAACATACTTCCGTAAACTGCAACATTTGCTATCGCTGCTAGTGCTCTTTTCTACAAGGCGAACTGTTGGTCGAACAAGTGCACCACGTCGCACTCCAATGGCCAGACTGCCTTCAGCATGCCTTGCGTAAAGACCCGGCTCTCACATGTACATCATGCCCGACTCGCGGCCCTGGCCAACAGAAGCACTGGCACGTGCGGAACGTGACCACGCATTGCCACGCATACCGTGAAGTTCTGAATGCGCCTTGTTCTTGACAATCTCCCCCGTCATCATGGACCTCACGAGGTTGCATGTTCATGTTGCCCATCGCCCGCATGGCGCGAGCATTGAGCCGGTCATCATGAAGGCCAAGATGGCACATGCGCCGAAGGCTGAGCCCTGAACTTCCAACCGTCCTTGTAGGTTTCTGCCACCTGCTCCTGTCATGACTCGCATGGGCAAGGCTCTACAATGTACAAAGCGGACAAGAGGCCTTGAGGTGGACAATAGCCTGGCCCAGGCGGCTTTCAGAGTTCCAGAATGTTTCAGACATCCAGTTGCAGCAAGCCGTACCACTACGCCTTCGCGGGGTCCAAGCCCTTGGGGCAGCAGTTGGTGCAGTTCATGATGCCTCGGTTGCCCACCCCGATGCTCCCTGTAGGGGGCGCCCTGCCTACGTGGCCCCAGGCCGGTGTGAGACAGGCTGTTTCTTGTGAGGTCGGGATCTCTCACTACATGGTTCACTTTAGTCCACAAGCCGTCCAGTTCTGCAGTTTCGGCGGCGCCGCTTCTGACATCGCTGGCCATCTTAACACCTCGACGCCTTCTGAGGGCTTCAACCTCGCCATCCAAGCACATCCAGTGTTGCGATCCTTCTTTGTTTTATGTGGTGTGGGTTGTTTGTATGCTGTTTGTAGCGCGTTTTGTGGTGGCTTTCCCTTGTTGGTCGGGAATTGTGTGAGGTCGAACTTTCGAAATAACAGTTTCGCTTGCTTACATTTTGGGGCACAACAACAAACTGAGAGCTCGGCATGGCGTGCGCAAAACGACTGCCCGAGCAGAAATGCGTGCGCGGGGCTGCTGCTTTGGTTCTGGCTTTCGGCTGTGCTTTATGAGGGTTTGGCACTTGGAACTTCAGTGCTGAGCCACTTTGACAGGTTGGGCTCAGAATTTGAAAGCTCGGATATTGGAGCTCGCTTGTATCTCTTGAAGCTACCGTTGTCAACACGCCATGCAGCTCCAAACAAAACACGCGGCCGAAAATGCTGCTTGCGACTTGGTCACCATGGCAGCGATAAAGCTTCATGGTGTCGTTGACCCATGCAAGTCGCTCCTGGGGAGGTCCAGCCAGAATCAACTGATTGCATAGCCCGGATCCACATGAAGACACTTTCTATTCCAGAGATTCATCCCAAAATCCATGAAACAGTTTCTGAATCAATCTAGAATAAACTATTGGTAGTGGTCCTTATTATAAGGGGATCGTACTGTTTGGGGAGCTATATGGGGGGGTCCCGTATCTTCGTAAACCCCCATTTGGTTAGATATGTTCGCTCGGACAGCTTGCCGGCCTCAGTGAACTGGTCCCTGGAGTCCGCAATCCAGCGGTAGGCCTTGCTTGCCCATGCCCTTCTGCAGATTCTGCATGCCCGTCCCATACTGCAAGATACTGCAAGCCTGCATCAGCACGGCAGGGCCGAGGTAGTACTCCGGGTTCCACCTGCCATGCATGCCAATGCCATATTTGCGCGCGAAAACAGCCTCAAAGAAAGGCAAGGCAGGCCAATAGGAGGGGCAGGAGGTCATGCAGCAGGCACACAGGATGCACTCGTACATGCCATCCAACTTTGCGCGGTCCTGCCAGGTAAAGTGTCAGTGTGCCCTGAGCTACCTGCTAGTACCTGCTGTGTATGCACCATGCCCCTGCTAGATATCTTGCTAGAGGTCCTCACGGCTCTGGAAGTACTCCTGTTGGGCTCAGAAGACCGCACATCAAGCATGGCTCGGTCCACTACTGCAGTACACTTCCACACCGTCCATGTGAAGAGACTCATGTGCAAGGTTCTTGGAGTGCCCCTTTGAAGGCTGCTACGAGCAGAACATGGTAACGCCGACCGAGTCCTTCTCACCCTTGGCCTTCGTGTCCTGCAACAGTGTCTTTCCAACAACTACGCTTAATGGCTTCTGGTCGGATAGTCTTGGCCTTCCGCTTCAGCCATGGCTCGATCGACTTGTACCTAGTACTCGGTTGCGTGCACAAGCACAGCCTAAAGGCACAGCCCGACATGACCCACGTCTATGCCAAACTTCAGCTCACTGGTTGTAGAAGTTCGTAAGGTCGGGCACAAGATCCTGTGGACACGGCAGCCCAATCTCACATGCTGGAGAGCTAGTGACACTCATGAGTGTGGGCACGCTGGCGTAACAAGGCTCAGAAGACTGCTCTCCTTGACGACATAGGTGTGCGGCAGGGGCTGGATCTCGATGGCCTGCTTGCCTCGTGCTACAGTCACCAGTAGAGAAACAACACGTGGCCTGTGGCTCTCCTCCCGCTTCCTTCCCTCCTCCCTTCCAGCTAGCGCGTCGGCGTGAAGCTGACGTGGCCCTCTCTGGACTTCTGAGACCTTTCTCTCTGAGGGCCAGACTTGGCTCGATGTACAGCAGGCAGGCGAGGCCGTTCTTTCCGTTGATGTTCATGGCCTCTGGCAAGCTGTAGTACGTAATGAAGAAGCCTACGTAGAAGCTTCCGTACATCCTCCTTGCCCTTTGGGGGCATGCAGCATCACTGGGCTGTCACTGGAGGCATGTTGCATTGCTGCAATCACTGATGTAACTCAATTACACATTTGGGCCCCTCAAGAAGCACATAAGCAGCAATTAGGACAGGGACCTTAGGATTTCCTGAACAAAAAAAGTTTGTGCTTGTCCGTTTCGGGGCCCCTATCAATGCAACTCTGTCCCGCGGTCAGCAGGACGTCGCAGCTGAGCTCCCGGCACAAGAGCCGCAAATGCCCTCGCGGCAGGATCTGCAGGGCAGTCGGACTTCTGTGCTTCCAGCAATGCCTTCACTCCTCCTCCTGTTATACCGCGGCCCCTTCTAGGTAGGGCTCCCCGAAAATGGGCCAAAGCTTACGGGCCGAAATCGACCACACGGCCGACCCAGGACCCAAAGGAACCCAGCTGCCTGCGGAAGGTGAGCGTGGCATCCACCTCGGCTTTCTTGTATCAGGAAGTGCAGTTCAAATACAAGGGGTTTAGGGGTTTAGGGGTTGTTTAGGGGTTTAGGGGTTTAGGGGTTTAGGGTTTATGCAAGACATCGTGCACATCCGATGATCCAGAAGCACTCGACTTGTGGAGCGACTACGGTAGCGACTTAGATTTACATGGGGTTTAGGGTTGAGGGTTGCTCTTGCAATTAAGCAGATGCCTCGTCCTTGATCTTGACCAAAGCGTCAAGAATCATGGGGCCACAAGCCTGACACAGATGACGCTGTCCAGCAATCACAAGTACTTGCGCACGGAAGCGCGCGCAAATCACAGAGAACCTTGAGGTCAATGGTGTAGTCCTGATGGGAGGCACATGAATGAAAACCGCACATCTTCGCATGCTCTCTCCCTCCCGCTGACGAGGCCATGCAACGCCCCACAATGCCAGTCCTGCAAGAAAGGCTTGGCCTGCTTGTCCGGGTCATATCCTCAGATGCACAATGACGGAGAAATCAGGAAGTCAGGCACCGCAGGCACCGCAGGCACCGCAGGCACCACAGGCACCACAGCTTGCTAAGGCGCGGTAGATGGCAAACGTCTGTGGCTGGGCCTCGTGGGATGTGACGTTGCAAGTTCTACTGTGGCGTCGTATACCAAGCGCATAACGGCGTATTCCCTTAAGGCATTGCTCGGCAGCTTGCCACCGCGGCAAAGCTGCGAACGGGGAAGCGGTGACCCAAGGACCTGCACCACAAGCCCAAGTGGCGGGGGAAGGGGCGGGGGGGATCAACATCAACATGTTTCAAAATCAATAAGGCTGCCTTTTTGGGGGTCCTTAAAGGGGGTCATCATACTTCAAGGAGCCCGTGGGCTCATTCTTACGAAAGTGGTGGTTTTTGTGTTTCCGCATGTGATGTTGCTTACACACGCTGAGCAAGGGTCCTACGAACCATCGCAGCCATGGCCATCTTTGCCACCTGAGACTGTCGAGTTTAAGGCTTTTGTTGGGCTCCCCGTTTTAGCAAGTTCGACCTTCCGAGTCGCTGACTAGAAGTCGGCTTCGCCAAACAAGGCTTCGTGAGATCTCTGAAGTCTTTGAGCCAACTTGGCAGCGAGCAGCACTCTTCACGTAGACTGTGACGAGGGCTCTTTCCCACGCGGCACGCATGCGACATGCGGACAGTATCCGGTAGCTCGCTGCGGGAGCCGACAACCCATACCACACCCATAGATCATCCTTGAGGATGTTCCGCTGGTGCTCGCGATTCTTTCTGACCTGGGCGTAGTCCCCCTGCCTATAAGCTGCTGCGGCTTAGGCTTCCGCAGGTTATGAGCGACTCTGTGACACTCAGGATCAGACCAGCTGATCCATGGCGGCAGAAGACAGCAAAAGGCAAGCAAATCCCAAATACCAGACACAAGTTTCTCTAGGCTGCCGTTTGCGGCATCTTTGTGTTTTTGTCCACAATCTCTTTCGAGCCAGGGTTTCCAGCACAAACTTTTCAAGCGCGTCAAGCAGGCATGGAACATGGTCGCACTCTCTGCTCGCCGAACATGTGGAACATACCGGTACGGTTCAGCTGATCGAGCGCATGCCGGCGAGACCTTTTTCTCGTGAAGCTAGAACCTCAGCCGTCGCACCAGTTTCCTGCAGGTGCCCAGCTATCATAGACAGAGGCTGCGGATGCTGGTGTCCTGCAGAACCAGGCGCCCTTCTCGGTGCCAATGCCACAAAGCCACCCCCCTTCGCCATAGTCCTTCGCACTTGATGCGCTGGTGCAGAAGTGTCCAAGCGCCAGTTTAGAATGGACAGCAGCCCTTCCAGTGAGCCTCGCCGTCATCGGGAAGGTTTCGGGACTCCTTGTAAAAGACCTGCCAGTATCTCTGCACTGGGCGTTCTGCAACACGTGCTCATGGCCACCTAGCCAGTGTAGCCCCACTAGGCTTTCCACTCTCTTGGGCTTCAAGAAGAAGATCTGGGCACGTTGCAACATGTTCGCGCTGGGAACTCAGCTCGCAGTTTGCATCTTAGCTTGAAGGAGCATAGGATTGCTGACAAGGCACTGCCTGACCCCGGATTTGCCCATCATATACCACCTCCTCACAAGTTTGCGCCCCGGGCACTCATGCTGCACATGGGCTTCCTGGACACATGCATCGACCGCGTCCTCCACCGAGAAGTGTGTTCCCTGTCGCCAGCCGTTGGGGAGACATTCAACTTCATGAAACGCTATGAAACATTCAGGCCTTCTGAACAACACGCTCAGGGAGAAGCTCGGCATCTAGCCTGAGACGTTGTGCTGATCGTGTGGGCAACCCGGATTGTGGCACATTCTGGCTAAAGATCCAGGGCCGCCTCGGTTCTTCGAAAATGCGCAGCGACCGCAGAGCCTCCATCGCCACAAGGCTGCAACACTGCCAGCAGTTTGCCGTTGGCCATGCCTCGAATGAGGCCGGTAACTTAATGGGACCATGTGGCCTGGCAAGGCTGGCCAAATTCTCGAGCATTCTCGGCAGCATGTATCCCAGCATCATGGCATCGTAGGCGGCCTGCCCTTTTTCATAAGAGGATGCCACCTTGGTCTCTGGGCTCTGGGGTACAGCCGAGGAGCTTGGCACAAGTCAGGCTCATGATGTGCACAATGTACCCAGTTCCGGGCGGAATGTTTGGATCGGCTTCAGGTGGTATCCGGGCCCTTCATGAGACGTTTGTCGACTACAGCAGCCAACGGCATTTAAGGGCATGGCCCAACCTTAAGACCACGCGGTCCCTCCCGGACGGCTTGGGCATCAGGAACGCCGTCTCCTCCGCACTGCGTCAACCGAAGAAGCGCGGAAACTTGCACATGCCACGCCCTCGAGACATGGGCATCCTGCCGAATCATGTACAACAGCAATAGCACGCCGATGCTGAACAGAGAACGCCGTTTCAGCGTCCACATGGCACGATGGCTCAGCTCGCCCTCCAAAGGGAGGGAGCTGTTCTCTTGTCATTCGCGGTGAAGCATCTAAGGGTCTTAAAGTTCAGAACGACATCGTCTTGACTTACATCGTCAGTTCGCGTGCACGTTCATTCGAAACCCTCCTGGCAGTCGCTCATGCATTTCGGGAGGGAGATATGATTAGAGTCAATGGCTCCCGGAACATACGTGACAGACAGTTGTACACAAGGGAACTTTTGTGCGTATTTGGAGACATATGGAGACAAGCAACCACCAAGGATCCGGAGCAATCAGCTCCTACGAATGTGCAAGCTTACGATTGGCCGCAGATGCTGTGAGCACCTTTTTGTTCCTCCGCGCTTCTTGAAAGCTTGAAGTCAGCTGGATGCTTTTTGCGAATCCTGCTCCTATCTACATGGAATACTTGCAGCAGTCTCGAAACAAGTGTTGACTTGTTTGGGGCTACCTTAACCAACTACCTATGCTCGTCTGTGGAGCTGCAGGTACTCTTCTACACAATATCATGGTCCCACTGCATTCAGTGGCTTGCAAATAAGCTTCAGTGCCTTGCACAACTTGGCGGAGCCACGGCAAATCGCGACATGATACCACTGCGGTGAACCCGAAACGCTTTGCCAGGCCACGCCAGATGACTGCGCGGTGTGCAGCCATGGTGGCATTGGCCTCGGTACACATGAGAGCAAGGGAGATCGTGACAGAGAGCCTTGCAGTTCGGCTGCCTTTTAGGAATTAAGTGCGGCTGATAGCCTTGGCCTGGGGTCATGTTGGTAAGCGACACGCTTGTTGCGATGCATATAAACGCCCACGATCAGCTGCACCACCTCAGAGATCCGGACCGGCAGCAACGATGCTTCACTGCTTCGGAAACCGGGACGTGTGTGGACTGCAAGCCCTCTCTCCAGTAAGGATACAACCCAGACGACGATGCCGCCGATAGCCTGTGCCGAGTTGGAAAGACAGCAAGCTAAGCCATTCACGAATTGACCTCGATCCGAGCAGTCTGAGCTGTGAGCTAATTGAGTGAAGGTCACACTTCCCTTGCAATCGGAGTAAATCTCACCAATTGGCACCAATGCCTGTCCCAAGTTGATCACATTAGCATGATTTGAATGATCTTAAAGATCTTGCGTGCATGTTTTCGCAATGGCTTGTCATCTCTCACCCTTCCTCGGCCGGTAGTAATTGAAGGCAGAATACACGGCGCAAGATTGTGTTGATTAAGGTAGCGGCAGCAATGTATGACGCAGAGACAATAGGCTAGCCGTTGGACTGTCGGTGCATTCTAGCAGTCTAGACTGCTTCGCATTCTCTTCTGCTTCCCGCTTTTGAACATCTCAGCTTTTGTTTACCCTCTCCGTACGATCCACAAGTTCTGCAATTTGGTTTACTTTCCGCTTGCTTTCAGGCTTCTACCTTTTCTGGGCATCCACTTCTGTCTCCGGTTCGGACACAGACACACAAGCGTCATTAGTGGCATCCGACAATCTGGTAGTGATCTGGCAGTAGTGACCAGTCAGCACCTGCAACATCATCACAACATCCTTGCCTCTTGCCTCTGTTTTGGGAGGACCTATGAGAGGAATAGAAGGAAAAGTGGTGCGCTTCGCAGGCCGAAGTGTTGTGTGAGCATAAAGACTTCATCCTATACGGGCTCTCAGTTTAGAGTGCTGTGTGGAGACATGACTGCAAGTCATCCACTGGACATACATACGGGAAAGAGAGCACGAGCCGCTCCCGAAATAAGTAGACAAGTATGCTCTTGTCAGCAGTATGCACTACGTGGTACAAGTTTTCAATGATCTGACCAAGTCACAGTCACCACCAGCACGATGATAAGAAGCATTGTTGCATAAGTCATGATCCTCAAGAGGGCAAGCAACAAGCTGTCAAGATCACTGCCGACAATCCAACAAACTCGCTGCAGCTTTGCAGACAAAGCTTCTTTGTCACGATGGGAAGGAATTTGCAGAAGCAGCCCAGACCTGCTTTGACAAACAGCCATGTGAGTGGATGGCAGACTTGTCACCGAGTCGAGTACATTTCAGGCCGCACGACATGTCGGTGTAATCATCCTGCATCACTGAGGTGATCGACACAGTCCAATGTCAACTGCCGTCCAGAGTTGCCACCCCTGACCTCTTCGAGCTGCGCCACGACGACGAACCCCAGCCAGAGAAGAAAAGCCACCAGGCCAGTCGTTCCGTATGCAGCAGCAGTTGCGAGGACCTCAGGGGCATGACCCCTGCAGATGTGTTGCTGAGTCGGTACCGCCTGCACCGTTGGACCAGCTTTCTCCTTACTGCTGCCTGAGGCCTGGACGAAGGGGAGCACGTCGCAGTCCGAGCAGTGCTTGCAAACGCAAGACTGTGCTGTGGAGGGCTTCGGCTCCTGGTACGCAAAGTCACAATGAATGTTTAGGAACGAGTTTCGTGAGCACAGGGTTGTCTGAGCATTACAACAAGCTCGCTGACAATGTCCTGGCATGTAACCCCTGCTGGACACGTCACGCTTCTTGTCATCACACCAGGCACACACTGCCTAGGACAAGAGAAGCTTCGGCAGATGCTTAGGACACCAAGTGTGCACTCGGCAAGTGTGCACTCGGTGGCCAACATGTAGCAAGTACAGCTTGACCAGGGGGTGACTGTGTATTCCTGCATCGCTTGCACACCACGAACTGTGTAACATTGTGCACAAAGCTGCACGCAAAGTTGGCAGAAACCAGCGGGCCTGCAGGTTGAGGTTGGCGGTGGTTGGAGCAGGTGTCACCTGAAGCCTCTCCAGGAACGGTTCCGGTTCCAGCGCTGCAGTTTGCCAACGCTCGGGGCCTTCGATCAGAGCTGCAAGAGTTGTCTATGCCTGCTGCGGGGTCACCTCGGGCTGACAGCGGACGAACACTCAAGAAACTTACAAGAAATGCTGCAATGATTCCCCTAAACGAACTGACAAATCCTGCGTTTGTTGAACGTTGTGCAGCATGCTTGGTGGGTCCCATTCGCACCCCTACACACAGAGTTGAACTTGTTTTGTCCGATGCTCATGATACATCCCGACATAGCACCCTACAGACTTCCGGCGGTCGCCTTCGCAGTCCGCAAAGTCCTCCGTGACAAAAGCCGAGGCCTGCGAGTCAAAGACGTTCACCAGCGGAGGTCCCTTTTGGGGATACTGTACCCCAGCATTGTTCTTCTTGGAGAGCTGGCCATTCCGAACACTTTTTGACGGCCCTAGCCCTTAGAGCTAAGCCGCTGAAGACTTGAGACTTCGGTTATGCAGGGGTACCTCCATGCCATCGAAGGCAACGACTGCCTCTTTCGGTGTGAGGGTCCCGGGCCTGTCCGACTCACACGCGGGCTTCAACCGAAGTTCAACCCCGGCTTTTTTCGGAGAGCAAGGCATCTCAACACACCGCAAAACAGCAGCGCAATCGTCTGGGGTTCAGGCGATGTCCTGTTGGGTTGGCTGTTGACTAGTTGCTTTTGCTCCATAGCCTTTCAACTGGCTTTTGAGGGCTGGTCTGGAGCGGGAGGCCAAAGATTGCTGGGCACGCACTCAAGGCCTTGGAGAAGGGCTCAAGAGCGGTCAGGTAGCTCCAAGGAGACGCCCCAAAGGTCTCGGACGTGTCGGGCATGTCGTCGTCCAACCTGGCGACAAGGGACAATCCGGGATGAGATCACAGCTCCAGGGATTCGCAGGCCTCCGGCCACCGGGAAACTGCGCCTCACAATAAGAGGACTCCTGGCAGCCGGACCAGCTGAGCTCGCTTTAGGAGAGCGTTCACATGGCTGAGGCGAGATCATTGAATGATGTCTCCGCACACATCGTCTCTGGCGTGAGTGCCAGATTCTCCGCCCTGGGCTCCACCCCAGCAATTTTCCCTCGACAGCTAATGAAAACTATCCCGCCCATGCTGCAACATCAAACTCACATGGAGAACCCACACGAGCACTGCTTGCAGCTGCGGTTCTGACATTCAGTTGCCTCAAGAAAATCGGCAGCTGATCAATCTCGAATTGACATCCGAACAATCCCTTCTCAGCCGAAGGCGATCGCAGAAATCAGCGTCGTTGACAGGACGCTAGTCAACTGAACGTTTGTGGTGAAGTTGCAATCCTGAGACCAGTATCCAGATTTGCGTGAGTCAACCAGTCAGTGCCAGTTATGTTGGTCCAAGTATCGGGACTCGAAAGCGTGGCCACGAATGCAAAGCACATAACCTCAGGCTTCTATGAGACAAGTCCGGGCAGCCACAAGTCCAGGCAGCCTGTCGGATGCTGGGATTCCCGGCCTTCCTGCAATATGACCTCAGAGCTTGCAAGCAGTTTAAGAACCGAGCATGTGGGAACCTGGCACCAAACTAAGCATCATGAGAACGTGAAGCCCAACTGACGGAAGACCTTCGGAGACTTCCAGAGCGGACTCTGATGAGACCGGGCTCGGCACGCGATCACATAGGAGGTTGGGTCGGCCAGGTTGGCCAACAAGTAGTTCTTGGCACTGAACCTCAGAAGCCGTCAACGAGTCGAAGACCTCTTGAGTCTTGCAGTGCAAGGGTCATGGGATATGGGATGAGGAGCTGGCCACATTAGTGGTGATCCAGTGGTGTCGAAGAGAGATTCACAGTTGACGTCATTAGCAAACTCGCCTCAGCTGCAGCGGGGTAGTACCCCCATGGTTGTTGTCCGGTTTGGCCTCGACGACCCGGCAGCTCAGCACTGAACCGTACTCAATGGGGTTGAGCATAGCCGACGCCTGGGTATTGAGGCAGAGATGTTGACGATTGAATATGCCATCGTTCTCCTCAATTCTCATTGACATGACATCCTTCGAAATTGTGGCAGAGTGGCCGCCATGCTGCCTGCACAAGCCGACAACAGCCGGTGTCACAAAGCAAGAGCGCATCGCATTGCGCACGCTACACCACTACACACCGCTGACTGTAGGTCAGCCGTTGTAGCAGTCGGCTTCGGGCTTCTGTTCTTTGACTGGTATCTTACGCTTTGTTGCAGACGCATCATACACACACACACACACTTACTTATATACACATATGTTACATATATATATATATATGACTATATATATATATATATGAATACGTATACGCCCATGTAAGAACCATTTCTTTGTGTTACCACTTTTCGTCCTGTAGATGTTGTTCTGGTCCAGGGCGGAAAGAACTAAACTGAAATGAAGTAAAGATGGCCACGATATGCCTTTGCTTTGCAGGTTGGGCAACCGGCCGCCTTGGTAGCACTGATCCTTCTTGGACAAGTGCCGATCAAAGACAGCAGAACGCAAGCCTGTGCCAAGGCGCCAAGCTGCTTGTGATCCCAGAGATCATCAGGTGCGCTCAAGGCATGAAGCAAGCCACTGAGGTTGCAATGCAACAAGCCTGTCGACATAGCGCCGCACAGTGCTCGGAAAGATGTCGCCTGCGTGCACTGCTTGACAGGCAAGCACACGCACCAGGCCATGACTGCGAAAGTCTCAGTCCATGTCTGCACCTTGGGCTTAGACGGGGTGCCAGCTCAAAGCAGACACTGGGGGCACCTGCGCCATGGTGATGCTCATGTCATCGCAGCTGCATTCTGTAGCCTCAGTTGAGAGACGAGGTCAACAGCGAAGTCCACACTGAAAGACTCTTACGACCAGTACTGCTGCAGCATGAGCCCCCGATATGCCGCAGACAGTGTAGACAGTGTACAAGCGTAGACAGTGTACAAGCGTAGACAGTGTACAAGTGTAGAGTGACATGTTGTTGAGTTCCATGATGGGCGGTGGGCCTGCAGGCAGTGTCCTAAGCGAGGCCCCCTGAATCTCTGCCGGCGCTGGCACACTTTTTGTAAGTAGGCTGGTAGCTCTAGCGGCTTTGCTATGGTTGTTCGGAAGAAGATTGACAAGTGTAGAGCGACAGGTGGAGAATGTAGAGTGTGGACTCAGAATCTGAGCTGTTCTAAGATCGCAGCAACCCAGGGTTCCTTGACGGCCGGGGCAGCATTGGTGCAAGCGCCAGGGCCTGGCAATGGCTCTGATACTGCTCTGATCCACCTCACTCAGAGGTGCAAAAATGGTATGCATGTCTGAGCTTCAGTTGTAGCCAAAATGTTCTGCCTGTCAGTTGTGTGCCGAGGCTTCGCATGACAGCCTAACAAGCGAAACGCTTCCAATCGGTGCACATGCATCTGGTGGTTCAGCCAAGTGCTGGACACGCACCAAGACTCTGCAACTCCAACTGACCTTTGCATCACAAGGCTTAGGGGGGAGCGTGCTTAGCGTGAGATTGTGACCCCACTCTGGCTTTCTGCGTCTAAATGGCACTTGCAGATCGTGCTTCTACTATGTGCAGCCAAGACTCACATGCCTGGTTCACCTGTGGCATCGAGGGGTTCGCCCTGCGCAGCAAAAAAGAAGCTCTCGGCTGTGGCGCTGGATTCCCTATTGCGAAAACGGCATCCTCCTGTCTTCGATGCTGGTCAACATCGAGGCCTTAAAGCCGAATCGTGAACTGCACTTGTACTATGATCCGGCTATTGCGGTTGCCCTTGCTCTTGCTCTTGCTCTTGCGGTTGCTCTTGCTCTTGCGGTTGCTCTTGCTCTTGCTCTTGCTCTTGCTCCTACTCCTACTCCTACTCCTACTCTAACTCTAACAATCACGACGACGACGACGAAGACAACGACGACGACGACGACGACGACGACGACAACGACGTCGTCGGAAGTGCTACTGGTACCTTTTTCTTTTGTTTTTGCCATTGCTTCTGCTACTGCTACTGCTATTGCTATTGCAAAGGCTAGTGCTATTGCTGTTGCTGTTGCTATTGCTATTGCTATTGCTACGGCTATTGCTATTACTGCAACTATTACTACTAGTCTACCATCGCCACCTACTATTTCTAGTACTAGTACTATTCCTACTTCAATTACGAATGCTGTCCCTACTACTTCTTGCTACGAATACGACTGATACTATTTCTATCGGATTGCTTCTACAATTACGTTTAGTTGTACTATGAGCATGACAACCAGCCCTCGCGGTGTCCAGTTCTCGTGTAAGCGTGTCATGGCGCGTACACGAACAGCATTCCCCTTCTCAGTCCTAGTCTGTTCTGAGAATTCGGAGGGAAGGCCTTCTTACGCACCTGTGACGATTCTGTGACGATTGTCAGCTTCTTGAGAAAATAACAAGCCAAGCCGTACGCAAAGAACATACCAAATACCCGACAGCACAACCGAGGTTGAACCGAGTCCTGGCGCGCGATGCACCTTCCGTTTACACCGCTATGATCGCTAAGTTAATGTCCTGCTGGACTGAGCTCAGCGCTGGCGAGTCTGCTGTCAGCACCAGGGAGTTGCAGGTTGCGTCCAGCGCAGCCTGGACAAGTGCAACCGTCAAGTTTGAAAAACCTAACTATCCCTTCGGCTTTTATGTGTAGATGTCTCAGCGTAGATTCGAAATATCTCCGGATTCATGCACGCCGCCACGCCACAGAGGAAGGGAGGAAGCCGCCCAGTCCCACGGAACGAGACCCCCCACCCACACCACGGGTTGCTGTGTTCTTGATCTATGTAAATACAAAGCTTTAAAGTTAAAGCAGCTGACAGCGCGGCCTCCTGGAAGTCCCCGTAGTACGCACCATTCGGTGTCTGGGAAGGGCGC